TGTATCGGAATGGACTGCTATTCTGTTTGTCCCAGTGTCCTATCTCCTATAATGGCTACAGCAAAAAGTCTGTGAAAGGTGAGAGATTCCATTAATTCTCCAAATGACTGATTCCAAAGCCTAAATTGTTTGCCAGTGGAGGAAGTGCAGCACACTTGTGCCTGACACTTCCCCTTTGGTCGGTTAGGTTTGTGCATGTCAGAGTTAAGCCTGGCACCACCTGGTGGATAAACTAAGAGCATATTTTCATCAGCAGTTTTGTATCTGTAGCTGTTGCTTTTCCAACTTTCCCATTTATAGGTGACATGCATGGTTTTATATCCATGTTTGTGTCTGGTAGGTAAAGGTGGCCTACAAACTTTAAGGGTTTTAAGATTAATTTGCCCCCTCTCCTTGTAATGGGAGCTTTAATTCCCCCCCACCCAATTTCACCTAAACTTCAAAAGCAGCCTCTTTCGAACCTTGCAGAGCTTTTGTACCATTTAAAGCAGCTCTGTCTCTTAGTACCAGACAGACACCTGAGGTGTACATATCTCAGAGGTAATTTTTAACTCCCATGCCTAAAGTTTGGGTGTCCATGGTGTGTGTTTGTTTTATTCCATCTGATAATACTTCTCTAGGTACTCATGTAGTCCTCATACCTACAATATCTGGACTTAAATCTCCTGATTTTTCTGTGGGAAGCAAGTTATTTTAGTATTATTACTGCATTGTTTACTCAACTTTGCAGACCATGCAATAATTTAGTAACTGGTGAATGTATGTACTCTGACTTTAGGATAGAACTGCTGAAGTGCCAAGGTAATTAGGGTGTCTTAAATATCTACAAAAGGATGGGTTAGTCAGTCTGCATTACAAATACATTTTGAGTTACAGCTTCATTTTGAATTTTCTTTTTAAAAGTAAAATATTTGACCTCTCCAAAGCATTTCTCTAGCACTTCTAATCCTTGCAGCATCCTGGGAGGTAGGTAAGGATTGTATTCTCCATTCTACAAACAGGGAAAACAAGATTGAATGGGCAAGTGACTTGCCCGAGGCTCTGCATGAAGTTTGTGGCAGAGCAGAGGTTACAATTGCAAAGTTCCTGGTTTCCAGAAGTGGCTTCAACCTTTACATTGTTGTCTCTTACCATAATCTTACTGTTCTCTGATTTTATAGTTTGTACTTTGTATGGCTTCATTAGAATTTTGTGGAGTTGTGGCTGCATAGTGGGATCTATCGATCTGGAATATCTTCTGCTAGGGTGAGAAAAAAGTATTTAACTATTGACAGCTGGCTCACATTGTCATGGCACAAGGAATAGAATGCTTTCTATTTGAGTTATGAACAACTGCAAGACAATTTTTTAAAGTACTGGAAACTGGCAGTGCTGTAATCACGGCAGCACATTTTTTATTTTCTCCTGAACTATCAACAGTCTTTTTGCATAAATAATATATTACAAGAAATGCAATAAGGGTATATGGTAGCTGCACTATGGGGTTGAAGGGTTACTTGAAATCAGAATAAATCGTAGAAGTCTACCTGTGAGTGAAGCAATAACCTTTTGCCAAATGACTCAGAAGAGTAAGTCCAAGTGCATTTGACTGGTTCAGTGGCTGTGAAAATTAATGTACACATACCTGCTTTCCTACCTGTTCATATCCCTAAAAAAATTGGTTTTTTTAAAATTCTATTACATGTGGGAAAGGTAGGATTTACTAAAATAATCTGTTAATCCTAAATAGGTGCTTCTGAATTAACACCTTCTTTTCCTGACTTTCCACAAATGGTATTGAAGGCTGAACATGAGGTCTAGAAGTCTGACCCCTTGAACTGTGGGCTCAGTCCTAGCAGTTGTCTCTGACTTTCATGCAATCAGGAAGGGCAAACTGAGTTCCATGCTGTGTACTGCATATGAGACTTTAAAGCTTATAATTCTGTATAGGATTCAAGGATCCCACATTTATAATATATGATTTATAACCATAACTAGTCCTTTCAGGTGCTTATATGGATGGATTCCAAATAACTTCAGAAGAAAGTTGGTTTCATTATCCCTATCTCATAGGTGGGGAAATCAAGGCAGACAGTGAGGAAGTGATTAATTTAAGAGGCCAGCAGAAGAGCCAGAAATAGAATAGAAATACATCAGTTCTTCAGTGGGCTTCTGCCCTCCACCCAATGCTGTTGTCTGTTTATATGCTGAAAAACACTAGGATTATTTGCCCTGAAAGTGACATAATTTAACTCATACTGATCTCAGTAGCTAAAACGTTTCATCCGTTTCTTTTCATTCTTTCTTCTTTTTTGCTTCACTTTTGGTTAATAGTCTATCAGTAGTAGAAGGCCCTGATTTTAAGATTTTTTTTTTTTTTTTTTTTAGATTTGTTTGTGGTAGTGCTTAAGACCTCTCTAAACATACTTGCTCAAGTTTCTGCCTATTATCTCTGATAACTTTTATCCTTTTCTCAGCTGCCTTAGTGAAGGATGAGAACTTTTTTGGTATCTATAATATCCCAGAAATTCTCAGTTACTGAGTTCCAACCAACCATCTTTCCCCCACACGCTTTAATGTCAGAGGGAGTACCAGGATATTACACAGTGTGCCAGAACAGGAAGACTTAAACTGATATGTCTTTTTTTTATAACGTGTATAATTTTAGGTCTTTGCCATCTGTTTTACCATGCTGTTTACTTTTTGATGATCCCAGCTACCAGGCTGCCATATTGTCTGTATTGTCCACTTTGCTCTCAGCTTTTTCTGATGTCTCTATATCCCCAAGACCAAACGCAGTGGTAGGGCATATTTCCGAAAAAGCAGGGGTGAATTCCAGGTGGCCTGACTTTGCCTCTGTAGGCACCTCATTCTAGGACAGCAAGGTCTCAAGAAGAGGAAACTCTCTAATGCTAATCAGGTCAGTGGCTTAGGTGCTCCTTTCTTTTTTATTTCACTCCTGCTGATCTTTCTTGGGTCCCTGCTCAGAAGGATTCTCAGGATCCTTGTTGAAGGCATCTTATTCTCTCTGCATTGTGTACAGGGTCTGACTAAGGATTCCCCAAGGTGTTAGGCATTATGGGTGCATCCAGACAAGCAGAAATGTGTGCTTCCTTGGGGACACCTTGTGCCACTGCTACTTGTCCCTGGGGAACACCCGTGCCATGTGCACTCTGGCACGTGGCAGGTTACCCTGGGTGGGGTAGGGGAAGCTGAGGCCAGCAACTGTGCTGGCTCCATATGTGCCAGCTTTACCTGGCCCGTATGTGCTGGTCCCATATGTGCCAGCTTTACCTGGGGCCCTGGGGGCCTCCGGCACCTACAGCCACGGTGCTTCTGTGGCAGGGAGCTTGGTCGGCAGCCGGAGCATGGGTCCGGCCAGCCAAGCTCCAGTTTTGGATGGCGTGCACTGCCACCACATGCACCATCCCACTTTTTTTTGGTGGGGGCTTTTTTCACCCCAGGATCTCCCAGGGTCAAAAAGCCCCTGTGCCACAAAGTAGTAGTTCAAGGAACGCCTGCTTGTGCAGTGTGGCTCCACAGACAGGTCCATGCTCAGCTGGATGTGCCCTGACACCTAAATACCCTGAGGTTTTAGCTCTAAGAGCTTGATCCTATTTAAGAGCTCCATTTTTGCCATCCCTCATCTGTTAACATTAGCAAAGCTTCGTGTAAGGGTGGGCAGGTTGCATCCACCCGCATAGAGTTCCTTGCGGGCTCATTGCTTAAATGTATTGTGGTTTCACTCACAGACCCACCATCTAGCTCTGTGCCACACAAACCTGCATCAGTTGAAAATGTCCTCCAACTAGTATTGCTTATGCATATCCACTTTACACCTGCCAATTGTACGAAGCAGCAGCTTTAAATTATCCTTGCCATTTCTAAGACCATGTATTAGACATTAGAGACCTCATTCGCTGGTCTGCTGGGTAGTTGCCAAAGATTTCACTGCATTTGTCTGAAATGCTAGTTAAAGAAACTGAAATGATATTAAATGTATATATTGCCTTTTAACTTTCCCTCACCATAATTTTTCTTGCATCTTGTGTTTTAGTGCTTTGGCTCGCAACCGGGGCACCTACCTGGGCCTTGAAAATAATTCAGGGTTTCTCTGTCAAGCACTGAAATACAGAACCGTGCCAAACAGCACTTGGCAATTTATTTGCAAGGGAGGGCACTAGGCCAATCTTTCCTCAGCAATCATGCACTGCAGTAGAGGTGGCATCTCCCTTTCTAACGTAATTTACAGCATTAACGCGCTCGATTCTAGCTGTCGGTGCAGCTTTTAGATTTAACCGTTGCTTGGCCAATTGATCCTTGCCCTTCAACAGTCGTTCCCCCCCCAACCCCCTCAGTAGCCTTCTTCATTTTGAGCCACCTTCCTCCCAATGTAACACAGGGACATTTCACTCCTTCCGAGGAAACACCAGAGTTGAAGCCATAGCCGATCAAGTTTGCACTCCGCTTTCCCCTGCAGGAGTCAGACATACAATGGGATGATGACAGCAAATAGCATCTGTTTATACTGCCCTGGTCCTTGTGGGAGCTGGGATCTCTCATGGTTTACACGAGCTGCTCCCGAGGTGGAGGCAGAGGGTCGTGCTTGTGGGATGAAAACGCGCCCTCCCTTTTCACCCTGCTGAGGAGGCGCCCGCTGTTACCAAGCGCGTCTCCGCCGCGGACAGCCTCTGCCTGAAGGACCCCGCGGCTCCTGCACTCCCCCGCCCCCAATGTTTACCTTTCGAAAACCCTCCCCCTCACCCCCTATTTCCTCGCAGAAGTGCAGCTTGCCGCACTTCCCTGCCCCGAGCGCTCAGGCGATCTGCGCGGGCAGCCCCGGCGCTCTGTGAGGTAGCGCTCGTTGGGGTCCTTCCTTCCCGCCCCACCCCCATAAAAGCCGCCGCTGCCGCCGCAGTCGGGCCTGAGGAGAAGGCGTCGCCCGGTCGTAGCCGCACGGTGAGGCCCGGCCCGGCCCGGGAAGGGGACGGGGGAGGCCTGGTCTGCTTCCCCCGCCGCTGCGGAGCGAGCCGGTGGGGGTGGGGCCTGGTCCCCGCCCGCGGCTCTGCTTAGTCACCCCGGTCCGCGGGCTGCTCCTTTTGCCCGGCCCCGGCGGCCGCGGAAGCGCAGCCCTGGTCTGAAGGGACGGACAGGCTCAGCCCCCGGGTCGTTCAAGGGGGGACCGTGCAGCCCTGTCGAGAGGCCGCGGGGACCTCTCCGGCCTCCGACCCCCCCGGCTCCTCGCGTCCCGCGTGGCCCGTCGCACCCGGCCGAGCCGTGGGCGTGAGCGCGTGGGGGAGGGGAGGGGAGCCTTTCCCGGGCGCGCGCGGGTCCGCGGGCAGGGAAAACCTCGCTCGACGCGCTCCGGCTCGCACCGAGGACTAGTGCATTTGGGGCGAAAACCGCGCTGGGTTATGAGCATCTCGCTCTCTTTCCCGAGCAAACGCAGGGCTTGGGGCGCCGGTAGGTGGGAAACGCAGGGATGAAATAGCCGTGGTGCATTGGGGATGGGCTGCGGTGTTTTTAAGTCCCACACCTGTCTGTCTATCTTTGAGGCAAAACAAAACCTCTGTTAGATAATCGAGGTAAAACAACTGGCTTAAATTTCCTTGATCTGGAGTTTAAGTGGCCGCCTGCGCAATACAAACCGAGCCTAAACCTATCACAGTCCAAAAACAAACCAACGGAAAAACCCTCATAAAATTGGGGATGAGCCTCGATTGCAAGTTGTCTTGGCTGTTCGAAGTCTTATTTTACCTAGCGGTTGGGAAGGTAGACTTGTACTTGAGCAAACTCAGCTTCTCACTGCAGGATTGGACCTCTTGGTGGTAAGAAGTTAAAATTTTAAATTCAATGTTTGCCTCTTTTTTTTTTTTTTTACTGGGGATGACACAGCAATGTGTTGCTACAACGTTGGGCCCAACTTTAATGAGTTTGTTAGTCTCTTCTAAGTTTCTCTCTCTAAGATGTGGTAATACTTGCATTTGGAGGTAGAGTGTTTTATCAACATGAAGCAACTCTGCCAAGTAAACTTGAAGAGGTTACTTTCTTCCTTTCAAACATGAAGATCTATGGCTACCGTCTGCTGCTGAGCAACCTGCATTGGCTGGGCTCCATTGGCCTGCGTTTGTTGCAGTGCCGTGATGAGCTACAGCAAGCGCTCGCTGTCAAGCAGATGGAAGTGAGACGAAAGTCATAGAGCTGGTCAGCTGCTCTGACTGCAGTAATTTTGAATCCGTGAGGTCCTAAGCCCCTCAAGAGTTTGTGTATTTTTGTTTTGTTTGTTTTATTTTGTGCATGTATTTCAAGCAGGCATCAGTTGAGTAATATCTATGAGTGATCTCTGTTTACCCTGAAAGCCTTTTCCCAAACAATTCTTAAATGGGTTTGCAGACTATTTGAGGATGCGTAGCTTAAGGGTTGCTTTTCAGTTGCCTGCTCAAGGATCTCTTAACATATTTTGACAGTGTTCTGCAAAACAAAACATATAAAGGCCAAAAATGGCTTCATACTGATTTATTTTACTTTATTTTTTTTGCAAGGAAATGTATTGGATGAATGCATTACTAAAACAAATCTAACTTGTATAAAAGCCAATTATTTTAGACTAATCCCATTGTGTGCACTCTAATGCGAAGGGCTAAAGAATCGGCAAACGAGATGTATACAACCTTACAACAAACATCTTAGTTGTAACTAATTAAAGCTGATTCTTGCCAAAATAAGCAGTTTGATTTCAAGAACGTGTTTTGAAGCAATTCTAGACTTCATGGGCTATAAGGGACTCTTGCGCTAAACTAATCACATGCGTGGTACTCAAAGCCTTATCCAGTAACATCTACATCATGCTTGTAACTTTTTTATAGGAGCTTAACCAGTAAGTTATTTAAACATTATTGGTTGCAGCATGGATTTGAGAACATACTGTCTTCTAAATTTTGTTATAATAGACTCCTTTTACAGGAGCCTTTTCTTACAGGTAAATGCATTAAGAAGCAATTGTGTTGTCAGGTGCTGAAAGTAGGGGTGCACTGATAGAGGTTTTTGGGGCTGATACAGATAGCTAATTTTTGAGGAGGCATATTAGCTGATACAGATCTGATTTCCGATACAGCTGCATCCAGCTGGTAAGACTTATAGTGGAAGGGAAGCAGTGGGGGGCAGACCCAGGTGCCCCATGATGAGGGAGGGAGTGGGGCTGGGGCAAGGGCTGCCCAGCTGGGGCAGGACAGAGCTGTGGTTTGTCTGGGGAGTGCAGAGGTCTGTCTGGTGCTCTCCTGGGAGCTCCCGCTGCTTGTCCGGCGGGGCATACAGGGTGGTGGAGTAGGTGTGTGCCTCTGGATCTCCATGGGGTGAGCGGGGCTGGGGCCAAGCTTTGGGGTAGGTGGCTCTGAGAGTGGGGCTATGGGGGGACTATGGTGAATTTTGGGGTGGCTGCAGCCCCCCCCATAGCCCCTACTTCCAGTGTTGCCACTGCCACTTGCCCCGATCCAGGGGCACATGCCTCCTCCTCCCCGCCACACCCCCCGGATGAGCTGTGGCTGTGCACTGCTTGCCTCAGCCCCACTCCCTCCCTCCCTCACTGCAGGGGAGCCTTGATCTGTGTGCCCCCCGTGCGCGGTCCCTTCTCTTTCACCACACCAGATTTACTAGCTGGACACTGCTTTTCAAGCTGCGGGGCTATCCTCCTTGCTGCCTACATGCTGTGTTGTGACTGCACATGCACGGGCCACTTATCAGCCATATCAGGCCAATTTCTGATGCAGCCAATCTTCTTTATATTGGTGCTTATCTGATATCAGACTGATGGATCAGTGCACCTCTAGCTGAAAGTTCTCTTGAGTATACCATGGGCAAGCTTTCACAAAAATACAATGCCAAGCATACTTCACTTCAAAGGGGGCTTGGCCAAGAAACCAGGACTTCAAGAGTGCTTCTAGATCTAATTTAATCTGAAGAGCCCATGACTTGCATGGAGGAGGTGCCTTAATTTTAAGGCCGCTTTTAATCATGTTGTTAATGTTGGAAGTATTTGGAAGGTTTGCTGTATCACTTAAAACCCTAATTTGGAACTAGTGGCCACATCCAAATGAGTGTGGCTGTACACTATGTGGCACAGCAGATGCATCTGCAGCTCTACCTATCATACATTCAGGTGTTTTCTGTGTGGCAAGGTAGCAGTGTGAGGGGATTTTTGACCCTGGGAGATTTAGTTTTGGGCATACTGCCCAAAACTGGAGACTGGCTGGCTGGAGCCATGCTCGGGCTGCTGACCAGACTCCTGAGTGGTAGGATCTGTGCTGCTGGAGCCCCCAGGACCCCAGGTAAGGCTGCTGGGGCCATCCCAGTGTTGGCTTCAGCCTCCCCTACCAAACCTGGGGTAATTTGTGGCGTGCCAGAGGGTGTGTGACACTGGCGTTCCCTGGGGACAACAAACCAGTGGCACAAGCTGTCTGCATTCTTGTGGATGTGGCCAGTGAGGGATACTGTACCACTAACATGGATCACAGTAATGATGTAAGCTCTTATTTTTAGAAGAAAGTGTTATGTAGCTAAAAAAAAAAATTAGGTAATTCCTACCTGCTTAGAGAAATACAAGAATAGCCTTTTTCTTACTGTATGTTGTTAGTTGCTTTGCTCTAGGAAAAGCCAATTAGATTTGTTGATCCCAATGATAAAGTAGTTTTGGTGTACTGAGGTATCTTGGCAACATTTGTCTTGAGTAAGAGGCAGCATGCCAATCCTTTTTTATTATTCATAACTTTGGAACAGTTTGTATCAAACTAAGTTGTCTGCAAATGCTTACTTGAAAATAATTCTTGCTCTTGTTGTAGATGCCTTCAATTAAACTTCAGAGTTCAGATGGAGAGATTTTTGAAGTTGATGTTGAAATTGCAAAGCAATCTGTAACTATCAAGACTATGTTGGAAGGTAAGAGTATGAAGACTTGAGCTAGTATCTTTCCTCAAGAAGCGAGGGAATCCCTTCTAAAATCGGGAATCTTTATCTAATCTGAAGGGGGGGAATAGATGATTTGACATGCTGAAGCATTTATTGTTCCACATAATGCACTTCTGGTGCATGCTCTCCTTCCTATCGAATCGTTCACTTCAATACACTTTTGGTAGTGATGGCTTAAGAACATAGTCCAGTCTCTGTAAGGCTAGGGACAGACATGCACAGAAATTGGTTTTAAGTGATCAGAAACTGGTTTAAACCTGTAACAGAATGGATGCTCAGTGCACATAAACCAGTTTGAGATAAACCTGGTTGAATGTAGTATATCAGACTTGCCTGGTTTGGCTCAAACTGGTTTATGTCATAGACTCCTTGCTGGTTTAAGATAAACCAGACACCCACAGCATCCTGGCATGCTCTCTGGACTGGGTGGGGCTCTCTGCTCCACAGCATGGTTGGCCCCTCCCCTCTGCTCCTTGGCTGGAGTTCCAAAGACTGGGCTGCTTTCAGCTGCCCCTCCCATTCCCTGCTAAGCAGGAATTCCCCTCTCTCCTCTGCCTAGCTGAGGAGGTGTTTGTTTATTGCAGGGGTGGGCAAAATGCGGCCCACGGGCCGGATGTGGCCCACCAGGCCATTGTATCCGGCCCGTGGGGCCCCTAAAAAATTTAGAAAAGTATTGTAAAAGCTCTGTTATCTGGCATCCCCCAGGAATGGGGAATGCCGGATAACAAAATATGCTGGTTAAATGAGCGGCCCTGGTGGCCACTTCTCCCGCCCCTCCCATGGCATTGCTGTCCCTCCTGCGGGCCTTGCAGGACAGGGAGACGGGCCCTGCACAGTTCGGTGCAGCCTGTCATGCCCCTGGGCTGTGGGGGCTCGGCAGTGCAGGCTGCTTTGCCCCTGGCCGTGGGGGCTTGGAGAAACTAGAAGTGCTGCGGTGAGCACTTCTGGTTTCACTTTATCTTACAAGCCGGCATGCCGGTTAGTAAAACATGCCAGCTTGTAAGGTGCCGGATAGCGCAGCTTTTGCTGTAATATTTATGTGCCCCTGGCTGCCTGTCGTGTGGCCCTCGATGCCTTGCCAAAACTCAGTAAGCGGCCCTCTGCGTAAAATAATTGCCTGCCCCTGGTGTATTGGCTAGTAGACCACATGCTGGCTACAGTCCCTACTGAACCAACAAGTAGTTGGTAATGTCCCTCTGTTTTCTTAATTGGGAGATGAGCACTGTTATCAATTCCCTGCTGGGCTAATCTCAGCTGCCAGAGCCTGGCCATGCCTCCCTCGGCTTCATGCTGTGGAAGCCAAAGGAGGGATGCTCTAGTGCCCCCCCTGGCGTCTAGTCTGAGACACTGCAGGCATGTGCCTACATTTTTGGGATGTCTGTTCAGTTACAAAACAGATTTAGCCTAACCAGGTTAGACTAACCTTTAAAGATTGAATTAATTCAGGCTCAGGCTTTTTGAATGTCTGTCCTTTGCTGAAAGGACCTGTGTGGCTTCTTGTTTTGAAACTGATGTCCCATGTAGGCTACTGTTAAGTCATTTCAGGTGACATGAAGTTTGTGTAACCTACTAGTGTACCAAACCACTGAATACATATAATTTGGATCTGAACTTCCTTGTGTAGTTGGTAAGTAACACTAATTGTGTGTTCAATAGCTGCATCTTATTTACAGTCCCAATCTCTTTGAACTATTTTTTTCTGAGTTTGAGTGATGGCTACTAAGGTATCATGGTGTTGAAAGTCAAGAACCGAAAGTAGGACTTGTATTCAAACAGAATTAAAGGTGTGGGTTTTTTTGTGTTTTTTGATTTGGAGTAACCTGGGTTTCAGCACACTAACCTCTTTTCTGTAGAATCGCCACTGTTGGTATTTGATAATAGAATACGAGTGATCTATGCAAGTGTTCTAAAGATATGGCTAGTGTAAAAGGGCTTCCTAGAGTAACATTTATTATAGATTCCCGTTTGGCATCAAAACTTGAAATTAGTAGGCCATTGTAATGTTTGGTAAACTGTTTAAAGTCAGCTTGTCAGTTCTACTTGATGTAATAAGCAATGCCTCTGAAAGGGAACTCAGCTCAAGGCTGTCATGTTGATCAGGGTCTGTCTATAAAGAATGGTAACTATAACGCTCATCTTTAGGGTGACCAGTAAAGTCTCTTAAGATGCTGTTCTGGTTGTCTGCACAACTTTTGGATATACCTTCAGAGGAACAGTTTAAAAATTGAGTGTGTTAGGGAGAGGGGGGACAAACCTTTTATTCAGATGCCTAGGAGTATGAAGAACAGGCAGTGATAGCTGTTTTGATGCCCGTGAGCTAAGGGAAAGAAGCCAGTTTTCTTGTAACTCTTTGGGTATAGACTTGCTGTAGTTAATGCAGCTCTTACAGAGTAAGTAGGGTTAGATTATTTGTGCTATTGATCTGGATGAGCTGAAAACAAGAGCAATGTTGGTTTTGATAGAGAGGGAGATCTTTGTAATATAGTACTTGGGGTCTAAAGTCTGTTTGCTGTGATTGGGAGGCATTCAGAAAACAGTACATATCCAAGGTGCCAGGTGCCTTGGCTGTTGTTGCCAATTAGTAGGGGTATGAAAGAAAACTGCCTTTTACCACAAAAATGTGGATAGAATACAAAGGGGGACCTTAGTGATGCCATCAGTTAAGTCCTAAGTTACTTTCACTATTGGGAAAGAGCTCTTGGGAAGAAGTCCTGTCATTGAACTTTCTGGTGTTGTGTAATTTAACACTGTCCTGATGGGGAGCTTACTGAGAGTGCAAGCCTTTTTTCCATCTGCCTTCAGCTTGACTCAGTTTGTTTAATATATTCAACTGAGCAGTAGCTGATGCTGCAAAGATCAAAAATTGGACAGACCAGATGGCCTGTTCCAGTACAGATCTCCTGTAGATTCTGTAACATGAGGTGAGATGTTATCACAAACTGAAAAAATGAGAACTGAAGCAAAGATAGTGTCATGCTTTGTAAGCAGTTAAACAAACCACTTCAGGAGTTCAGAATTAAGCATTTTACTCTCTTGCACAAACTGCAAATAAAAGGACTTCCAGAAAACCAATAGATGGTCTGTGTATAAAACAAGCTATGCCTAATCCTTCCAGTATAGATTCTAGTTCTGTTTATTTTCAGCGTGTTCTGGGGAAGTGTTGGTGCTGTTGCCTCTCCCTCCCCCTTTCTCTGGCTGGAAAAATACAACAATCTCCAAAAGCCACATCTCTCTCACTAAGCACTAAACTGACTGCATAAATAAAGGCAAAATGTTCTGTTCAACAAAAGTTGGCATACTCTAGATCCAGTTTTGGCAGAAACTAACACAGCTTGGTCCTTGCCCAGAGGTGGCAGTTGGCAGAGACAGCCACTAGATGATGCGTTCTCTCAAACCTGCTTGGCAGGCCGGATTAAGTATCTTTACAGGCTAGATCCAGACTGTGGGGTGTAGGTTACCAACCTCTGTTCTAGATCCTTAATTGTATGCTGCTTTTGTGCTCTTGCACTCTGTAATACAAAAGGTGCTTGTTATGATATGGTATGCATAACTGATGGGGGAATATAATCACAAAGTGTAAATATGCACTTTTATGGACAGTCAGTAGACTAAAATTTTTGGCAAATCCTTACAGAAAAATCTCCCCCTGTGTAAGGTGTGCAGTGGTATCTAGGGTTACTTGAAAATTGAAAGTGCTTAAACTTGTGTAAGGTGCTTTGTAGTGTGTGAGGTGTAACACATGCAGCCATTGAATTCCCTGTCCCCAGATACCTGGTACTGCAGATTTCATTTATTTTCAATATACAGATAGTTCCCATAAGGACTAGGAAGAGAAACTGCAAGATTTTAAAAGGTGAGTGAGGGACTGATGTATGGTTTTTCAGTGCAAAGTACCTTAAGATTATCCAGGAGGCATTGCAGAGCTCTCGTGTGAAAAATGAAGGTGTTGTCCTTGCTAGTTGGTAACTCTACATCTAATTGAGGCTTTTGAATTCCTTATCACCTCCTCTGTCAACTCTTGACAGCAACTAGCAACTCTTTTCTTGCACTGTACTACATTAAAAGTATATTTGAACCTCCTACGAATTGGTGAAATGCTCAGTACCTCTTTAGATAAGATAACATAGCAGTTGTGCCGTGTTACTGCAAATCAAAAATACCATAGTAGTCTAATCAGCGGGACAGCTACTTTAATATGGTACTAACCCTCTGGATTAAAATCTAATTTGAACCGTCTTGTGCTTTCAGTACCTCTTCTGTATCATGATATTAGTATCTTTTAGCTTGAATCTGACCCCTCAATAGAACAGAAACATATCCAGGTCTCTTGCATGTACCCACAAGACTTTAATGGTTATTGGTGTTGCATTTCATAAGCACTTGTATTAACTTGATTTGAAGAATTAGTCACTATCCCACAGTATGAACTAATATGGTTGTTGTGCCTCGATACAGAATGTTTCTTTAAGCGAAATACCCAGCATCTCTATAACTGCTCCTGCAGAGAGGACAAAACGTTGTCTATACTTAACACAGGAGCTTTGTTTTCATACAATGGTAAAGCTGAAGAGAAATCTGTATTGGAACATTTTATGGTAAGCTTGGGGCCTGAACTTCCATAGTAGCTAAAATATATAAATTAGTGTCTTCCTTTCTCAAATTTCTAGCATAGTTAGGAATAAAATAGTTCCACTGCTTAAAATACTGAAATAGTGAAATTGATTCTAATAAGTAACTGATAAGCTAATAAATATTTGAAGAAGCAAATACATCAGCACTTCATTTGGACAGATGAAACTTTATTAGCTGCATGATTTGATGAACCTCCTGCAGTCAGTGTAGCTTGAAAGGAATGCAGCACTAGTATTGCAAAAATATTCTTTAAAATTCATGTTTTTGTAGCAGGTAAGCTGGACGCAAACAAATGACTTAATGACACTTTGTATTAGAGTAAATAAATCTGTCTGTGTAGTGATGAGGTGATGCAGGTATAACAATTTCAGGAAAAAGTTACTGTTGAATACTGCCAATTGCTCAGTCTTCTTTCCATTCTTAGATTTGGGAATGGATGATGAAGGAGACGATGACCCAGTTCCTCTTCCAAATGTTAATGCAGCTATATTAAAAAAGGTAAGATGGTACTGGCAGTAGTAGCCTTGCCAAAAAAAAAAATGCCAGAGTTAAAAACACATCATTGAAAGTTTCACACATCCATAATCCTTTGTAGGGTGCGTCTAGGAGCATGCAAACTGTGTGTGGTTAGAGCAGGCTCTGCAAACCTGTAGTTCCAGACATCAGACTGATTTGCCTGCCCAAAAGCATACATTTCAAGCACTGAATGAAGGATTGTGATGCTAGCAGCAGTGGCAGTCATGCGTACCCAGTATACTATGTAGGAGCCATGCTTGTCACTGCCCCCCTCCCCTCTCACTTGCATACTGTTGGTGTCCTAGGAATCTTTGTTAATTATGGTCACTGTGTGGTGTCCTGAGCATGCAGTTTGGCACAGCAAATCCAAATGAAAGCTGGTACATTAACTGACTGAAGTTGGTTCTTTTCCTGTTCCGCCAAGAAGAGACTGTGGATAAGCTTTCCCTAGAGAACCAGTTTACATTGTTTTGGGAGACTGAACTGGTTAAGGACCATCTTACCACCATGGGTAGGAATTGGTATTCAAAACACTCCTGGAATCAATCAGGCTCTGGCACCAAGTTAGGCAAACTTCACAGCGAACTGTATTTGCTCCTTTTTGTAGTGCACAGGCGACATTTTGCTAACCAAAACAGACTAAAAGTTCAACATCCCTTGATAAATATCAAAGCTTCTATTAGCTGATCACCCATGTTTTTTCTGCCACAAAAGTGGTAACTAGTTTGACTGTTTAGAGTAGTAGTATCCACTGAAAGTGCTGTCTGCTAATAAGAATTGCCCATATTCCTTGTTTCACAAGTGGATGAAACTATTTTTGGAGGAGTATGCAGAATCTCAGGCTGTAATATAATTGTACAGCATGTATGAGTCTGCTGTCTTCCTAACATTTTTCTGGAGATATTGTCTAAAAATATGCTCCTGTGCTTCTGGTGTTGCATGAAACTTGCAGAACCAAAGAATTTATTACCAACTTTAATTTATTACTATCTCTTTAAGAATTTAAAAAAGCTGTGAAAGTCCCGAGTCTTATGTTTTTGAGTTGAGACTCTTCTCTTACCACAAGGCAGTAGCACTGAGGTAGCCTGCTGGTCCACCATTTTGTGCATTTTTTTTTTTTCCCTTCAGCTTAGACTCTGTTAATGTAGTCTGAATTCAAACTGGGGCCAAAGGAAGATTTGCTTGAGAGAGCTTAATATTAACCTTAATCTCTTGACATTTTAATCAGGTGATCCAGTGGTGCACCCACCACAAAGATGATCCTCCTCCTCCTGAGGATGATGAGAACAAAGAGAAAAGAACAGATGATATCCCTGTGTGGGACCAAGAATTCCTGAAGGTAGACCAAGGAACACTCTTTGAACTTATCCTGGTAAGTTGACTGGTGGTAGTTGCCCTCTTATTTTCAGCACTATAGTCTCTCCAGACTTTTGAACTGGTGTAGAAGCAGTAGAAATTTAGTCCAGCTTTCCCAGCTTAGAGTGAAACTATTCAAAATTAGACGTGTGTAGAGATACTTCGGGCAGTGTGAGAAACATGAAGGATTAATGCTACGCACTTGAGGGCATAGGCACAGATGGGAGTTAAGCTTCGATTTTTTCCTCCCCTCCCCCTCCCAGTGTAGAAATTGGGCTCCTCTTCCACTAAAGTGGAAGGGTTAGCAGGGAAAATTTTGAAATTAGTATTGCATGTTTTGTTCTGTTTAGCAACCTGAACACGCTTCTAAATTTTAAAATGTAAATGGCATTGCAGAACTTCACAGCCTAGTTCCCCAATTCCAGTGACCCATACGAAGTGTGAACTGTGTGCAGACAACTTTATTGCATGAACAGATGTGTTGGCTCTATTAAGACCGTGGATGTCTGTGGATTTTCAAGAACAATGTTTCTTCACTTCTTTTTCTAAGCAAACTCTTGATTTTAAATTAGTTTAACTTTGCAGTTATGAGCATATTGGAACACTTTAGACTTTGTAACTGAATCCAAAGAAAGAAGGGTTTTCAAAATGAAGATGGGGCTAGAATTGGTTTTAGATATTACAGTGGGACTGTGAATTGCAAACAAATCTTGGCAGGCGTATACATCCGTGAAGGCAGAATAATGATGTAAAGACTTCAAATCTCCACTTTTCTTGCAGGCTGCAAACTATTTGGACATCAAAGGCTTGCTTGACGTCACATGCAAGACTGTTGCAAACATGATTAAAGGGAAAACTCCAGAAGAAATTCGTAAGACATTCAATATCAAGAATGACTTCACTGAGGAGGAAGAGGCACAGGTATTCCATAGTTCCAGCTAAATCAAACTTTGGCCTGTTTATATGCTGAAACAACTCTTCCCTATGTTTATGTTAATGTAGCCAGGTTGTTGGATACAAGGATTCTTGGTCTAGGTTTATTTTAATATGTAATGCCGTCTTGGTGGGATAGGTGATCCAACAAACTTCCACAAGTTGATGTAGTGCAGCATGTTGACTGTTTGCAGTTAACCACAGCACTTTTAAAGGATAGTGACACAGTTCACTACAACTAAGCCAAAACAATAGGACAGCCTATCCTGCTGTGCCTTGACATGATGTTCTGACTAATATCGTGGTCTTAAGCTGCTTATTTTAAAGCCGAGCATATTGTTGGAAGCTGCTGCTAAGCCTGAGATGCTCAGAATTTCCTAGTAAGAACTTCCAGAAACAAAAGTAAAATAAAAGATGGCCCACTTCAAAATAAGACTATTAAATGACCATATAAATCCAGAATAATAATATACTTTAGGAGTTGTTAAACAACTGAATGCAAAGACAGTTTCTACATACTTCACCTCTTCCTAAATTCTGTACAGAGATGCACAGTTTGACCTAAATGATGTAGGATTGCTTAGTGAATGATTGGATAGGAGTGTGTATGTGCAATAAACTTGATCTGCATTGGTGAATGTAAAGGTCTACTTTAAAAGTTAGCAAGCTTCTAATGTAAGTAAAAAATGGAGTCTTTTTTTGATCATGCTTCCTTGTTAAAGTGGAGTAATTGGGATATTTCGGGGAATATTGTTGGCACAAGTAGATAAAGGTTGTTGCGGTGTGTCCTCTTAAACCTTCATTTTCTTACAGGTACGCAAAGAGAACCAGTGGTGTGAAGAGAAGTGAAGTTTTGTGCCCGACACTCTTAACACTGTAAGGATTGTTCCAAATACTAGTTGCACTGCTCTGTTCATAATTGTTAATATTAAGACAAATGCAGCAGTAAACGAAGTCACGTTAGCAGGATATTGTTCCTTTGCATGTGTAGTGGTTTTTGAGTACCAATTTAAACCCTGAGTTTTTACCAGTGTAATCGGATGTCTTTTATGTTACTATGAATAAAACTGAACTAAGTGTGGGTTCTGTATGGAAAGTAGCATTCCGGGCTATCACCTTTCATTTACCATTAATTGTTTGTGCCCAGCTACAGTGTTATATTATTGCTTATTTGACATCTGACATCCTTCAGCTCCACCATTGTAAATAAAACCACAGCAAAAATTTCTGAAATAGCTAACTTTTTCATTTTAATTCCTGGGATATTAATGGCTTTAAAGAATTAAAGGGTTTCTTGAGGAAGCAGTCTGAGTGAAAAGGTGCTGCGTTTCTTCCCAAACAGTTAAGTATGAAGAATGGTGATGCTTTACATGGTTCTTGTTTTGCGTTATAAAATCTTTTTTTAAGTGAGGACTTTCTAGTCAAGTTATCTTTGCCTATTAAAGATGATACAAATGTGGGTTTGGCAAATGTGACTGGAACTGGACAAGCCAGTGACAATTGGAACACTTCAACCATGTCTTGGGAGACCTCTCTGTAGCTGATAGATGTAAGCTGTACTGCATAGCTTTTTTAAAAGCTTTTAATAGTGTAAAAGCTAAATCCCAGTTTGACCAAAAACCATGACTGACTACCAAAGCAAATGTAATTGATCAGTGTGTGCATTAGTGGCTGGCTTTAGGTAATCCTAAGTATGCCAGGGGCTAGCTCTTGAAACAGTTTTGTGTCCACAACAAATCTTTATCCTTTGGAGTACACAAGGCTCCAGCTTTTAGAGACTTGTCATAATTGCATGCAAAACACAAGCTAGTGCAGTAGCTAGCTTGACGACTTTGGACAACGCCACTACAACTAGTTAAATATTAACTAGTTTTCTGATTTATTATTTTTGTTTTTTCTTAGTTTTTTACACTTCCCTTATAGGGAGTTAGGGGATGGTAGTGTTAAACATTTAAAGTGTGTTCTTGGCTTGTATTGCATTCCATCTTCTGTATAAACCCTAGAATAGAATAAACTTTAATAAACATACTTATCTCCCCTTTAAATAATGTTGCACTTCTGAATGTTAAAGGGTTTGTTTTGTTTTTTAAATTTCTATATTAGAAACTGCTTGATGGCCTTAAGGACACCCTGGTTGTAACTAACATGTCTTGCCAAATGGTAGAAAAATTCTTGTAAATATTCTTGTTGCTGTGCAGATCTTCATTTACATCAGTTCTAACAACTTTGAACTTTGAGGGTTAACTGGTTTGCATTACAGTTTCTCCAGTTACAGCCTACACAACCTAATAATAATCCAGGCAAATGGGTAAGCCTTAGGGTGGTTAACAAAAAAAAAAAAAAAAAATATGGAGTTGTAACTCTACCAGTCAAGCACACTTCTTCGATTTGTTCCTCTGGAGTAGATTTCCCCAACTGGCCTTTAACTGGATACTACTTCTTGTTCTGTTCAAAAAACCCCTTGGTATTGGTAAGAAGAGCAGTAGAGTACCCTAATCCTAGGATAGAAGAGGCCCCACTTGCCTCCAAGAAATTAATGTTAACCACTTCCACAAGAAATCTGACCCTTTCTAGGTCACATTCTCTCCTGTCTACTATGCTTGGTGGAATGAGTCCATCCTGTTTGAGGGCGAAATATTCAAGCCATTGATTGTTTGCCATTAAAAAGTGAGGGTGAATATAAGGATTGAGGAACATGTCTTCACTTTCAATTCTTTATCCTGTAGTGTAGCTAGTAACAAAGGATGAACTTGTCCCAAGAGGTTTATATATGCTGGTTAGGCCACCTCTCTTACAGTGGATATATCCTAGAGCTGTCCAAGTCTGGGTTATTAATCAGTAGTTTTCTTTAACCTGAAACTTCTTCATAACAAGTAACCCTACTTCTGCTTCTCTCATCACTGTTAACAGGTGCTAGACTAGCTAGTCTAGGGTCTGGTATGCATTCTGCTTGCCTCTGCTGCATCACAAAGTGAGCAGTGGATAGCAGCATTTAACCTGTGGGAAAAGGGAGGGGTTGGGCACTGGGAGGGAGCAGAGATGCATTTATCATTTTGCAGCGGCTGAGTGTAAAGCACCTTTATTCTCTGTGCAGTGAGAACTGTTGATCTGCAATGAATGGTGTTCAGAATACTTCTGGGTCGTCATGTGCATTGGGGCAGCAGAAAGGAAAATCTCTTCTTGTTTCTAGCCATACAAAATACAAGTCAAAGAGAAATTCTCTTGCTTTTACAGTATGGCCCCTTCTCATGCGTGCCAGTGTTCTATTTCATGTGACCATAACATTTTGTGCTGATCAGGTAACAATAACAAAATCTGTCTCAATGTTTGCATCTGCTATTGAAACTAGAGACTTGTACCATTCTGCCGTTGCTTCGGCTATGAAGGGTGCTGTCCTTGTGACTTAGTATGGTCACAGAGAACTTCTAGCAGTAAAATGTTGGAGAGTAGCTGGGCAATTCTGTTGGATCTTAAAACCTTCCCATAGATAAAGCCTGATAATGGGAAATTCACCAATGTACCTATACAGCTACTGGTGCACACTAAATCAGAAAAAGGCACTTGATGCCTTGCAAAAGAAAATCTGGGCAACTACAACGGTAGAATAAACCTGGCTAGCTTTCGCCTGTAGATGGTACTTGTTGTTTCTTGCTTCTACAGGTCTATTCCTCAGTATATCGGAGCAGACTGACTGGCTTCCTCCCACAGCGAGTCTCTCGTACCTTGGCTAAGCACTAATAAACAGTCTGAATCCTGTGCTCTTTCAAAACTCCCAAGAGTTTACACAACGGCACTTGGGAGCTCAAGTTGTGGCTTCTTGTGCAGTTCCATCAGTTTGCAAACCAGCCTGAGGCAGCCTTCCAAAATGCACACTTACCTGAGAGCCACTAGTCTGTACTTCCTTCATTTCTATGTTTCCAGTTTTATGTTCAGATAGTGTATCTCCACTCTTGACTTGAGGATAAGTGTCCCTTCTGTGGTCTTTAACTTTTGTACAGATTGCATCCAGTAGTTACCCTTGGCTTTGATGCTCTCTTTATAGGGAGCACCTTCTAGATATAGGTTTGGAGAAGTGGGTGGCTTAGGAAATTTATTACAAGACTCAAACCTGCATTTAGAGTCTGCATAAGCCAGTCCAAGGGATTGAGAGGTTAAAGCATTATAGTAGCAGTTGGGTGGTTGTGCTTTTAGCAGACCTGTTACTTCATAAATTACAGCAGCACAGACAGCTGCAATAGGCATTTTACAATCAAGGCAAAAAGCATACAAAGAAACTGCTTTGCCTGACCTGCTCTCATGCTCTAAAGCAGGCTGGAATAATTCTTGCATTGCTGTAGTTGTGCCCTCTCTGGCTGGGTATTATACCTTGGCATAATCAGGAATGAGTATAGCTAGTTTTTTTGCTGAGGCAGTGTGAAAAGATGAGGGCTATCAAACCAATGTACGTAGAAACAGATGATTGTTTCAGCTGCTGCTATCCTCCCTGTTAGCTTCCTCATAGGAGACTACATGCAATTATTCTAAAAATGCCTTTTTCCACATGAATAGTGGAAAAAACTCCAATCCTCTTAATGTTTTTGAGAGAAGAATTTGACGAGAGATCATTTTATAGGATTATAATCTCCAGTGGCTCATCCTGAATGGCCATCCTGGCAGATTATTTTATTTATAAAGCTATAAACATATTTTGAACATGAAAGCCAAAAAATACAAACTCAAAAATAAAAAAAAAAAATACAACAAATGATGGATAAGTTGTTGGACAAATGAAAGTACAGCTGCAAAACATTTATCCCTGCTACATACATAGTGGTTTTACTTGTTTTAATGAAGTGGTATTGCCATGACTTTTACATTCAAACAGGTTTCAGGATATTGAATGTATAATTAAATGGAGTGAACTTGCTGTTTAAGAACTAAAAATATTGCTGCAGTAAAAACTTAAGGGCAAAGTTCTATTTTAAAAAGAAAAAACAGAAAGTAAGTAACACTTTATGTATCGGTTCTAAAGACATACTTTTTTGGTATTTTCTCTTTTGGTTTCTGTTTGTGTAATAACACCTATAGGATGTTAAAATGTGTATTTATACATATGTTGGTGTACAAAAGGCCCCTGAAGGTCTTTCGCTTCTCGGTTTAAAAAAAAAAAAAAAATCAAATGATGCTCTCAGTTAAATCAGTATAAACAGGAGTTGGCAATAAAGGCAGAAGACTACTTTCATGCTGCCGTAGCTTGAGAGTCTAGAAGCACTGGGGTCTGGAGAAGTAATAACTAAGAGCAGGGCAAATTTTATGTTCTGCATCAAACCAGAACAAGACTATGTGATCTAAGCCCTTCTAATAGTAGTGTACATCAGTCAGTGAATGGGTATAACTGGCCCTGGTTCCATGGGTGTGCAAATGCCTCACTTGGAGGAAAAGCTATGCCTGGAAAATAGGTGTGTTTAAGCCAAGGACCCACTTGGCAAATTCTACAACAGACTGAACAAATAAAAAGCAATTGAGAACAGAAGTTGGGATATAAAACAGCCCTTTTTCCACTTTATCCCTCTGCCATGGCAGACGCTCCAAGTGCTTCTGGGCCAGAGTTGGGCTTAAATTAAATTAAACAGATGCAACTCCCAGTGACCTCTACATGCAGTGGTAGCTGTTCCAGTTTACTCCAGTGGCCAAACTTTGGACTAATGGTACTTGTGCTGCTGCAGGACTCTTTCCCCCATAACATCCACAGGTTAGCTATATCTGCTTTTGCTTTTGGGCACTTCCTGTGAGAGGTTTGAAGTTGCATTTGTTTTATACAACCACAGAACATAAGTTGTTACACTGTGTGGTTTTTTTGTTTTTGTGTTTTTGTTTTTTTTTACTTGCTTGTACTAGCTTACACAACTGTTGTCACAGTAGTAATGTAGCTTGACCTTCTCCAGCACTTGATGTCAAACAGGAAAGATACTTTCACCTTACACTGGGGAAACCTGACTGAGTTCAGAGTCAACTAGAGAGCTGGGGATAAACCTTTCCTAGTCCCTTGCTTTAACCACTATACTGTGCTGTCTCCTGAACTGCCTGGCAATCATTGCTAGCAAACCGAATATTGATCAAATGCTGCAGAATTAATCCTTCTGACTGGGATTAGCACAGGTGTTTAAAGTATGTTTGGCTTTCAATGCAGATTATGCTAATGGTCTGATGGTTACATAAACTCTTTCAAATGTGTGCATGCTTCTGGGATTATGGTCTGTACACAACAAAAGGAATACAGCAGTAGCTTTACATCTTCTAGCAAAAGTTTGCATGGATAATTCCTGACCATCCCTCCCCCCATCATTTTACAGCAGGGGTGCTCAGCCTCTGGCCTGTGTGCCAGATCTGGTCTTGAGGGTTTCTGAAGGGGGGGAAAAGTTGACAGCAAGGGCGCGGTGTCAGTTTCTACTACTGAAATCCTAAGCCCTGTGCAGTGGGTTGGAGCTGGGCCACATCCCTCCCCTCCCTCTGTCCATCTGGGTTGGGATCAGGCCACCTCTGCCCCCTGCCAGTCTGAGCCATGCCTTCTTCCCTCTCTCTACTTGGCCAGGTTTGGGACTGGGCCATGACCCCCTCCCCTCTTCCTCCACAGCATTGGACTGCACTCCCTCTTTCTCCCTCTCTCTTCACCCAGCCATGGAGGAACTGGGCATTGCTCATCTGGCCCACTGGATGGAAAGATTGAGCACCATTGTTCTAAAGGAACTTCAGGTGAAAGGGACTAAAATGGGGAAAATCCCAATAACTGCTGCTCTACACAACACACCATTGTAACTTTCAGCCTTCGATACAGAAAGCTATTGAAAACAAGTTTGCAATGTAAGAACAGTAGATTTTTGTGGTGGTGCCTTATGAAAAAGATACAAAAATATTTTGTAGTTAAAAAGGTCCTTTTTAAATTTCTTGCAATACTGTAATAATATTAATACTTCATTAATTTGTATAGTCTTTTCTAGAAAAAATAGATGCCTTAATGTGTTGTTGCTCCTCTCCTCATCAGTCTAGGATGTTTTCAAAATAGGAGGCTTGATTTTGATCTCAATGAGCACAGTGTAGGCCTAGAGGAACTCCAAGGAATGCATTTATATTGCTATAGCAGGGTTGCTATGGTTTTTTTTTTCCATTTGTCAAGCTTAAAATTATAAATAAAATAGCAGAAAACCTTAGATGTTCTTGAGAATGTATTGACACTTGACAGTTGGGAAGGTGAGTAGACATTAGAAATTTTTAATAAAATGTACAGTGCATGCTAAAAGCTGTGCACCAGCTCATCAAACCTGCTTTTGGGGTTTGCTTTTAGACTGGATAAGGTGAAGAGTGGTGTCTAAGATGCAGAGCAGTGGCTGCTGGAGAATATAGGAGATCCAGGCCCTGCATCAGTGAGACTGCTGCCACTCTTTATGTCCCCCTACCTGCTAGGAGGGAGAGGCAAATGAAGTGTGGAGCTAAGTTTCATGAGCATGAAGAGCATTGTTGAATGAAGCATATGTCTACTTTCTAGCCCCACCTCTTGCTTGTGACAAACACATGGGTGCCTTGTGAATCGCCTCTCAATGCAAATGTCATGCTGTGTGTCTGACTTGGTATCTGTGCATGCACTTGCACTGGTATTTTAATGTCCTCATGCACCCTGCTGCATATTTTGATTAACAATAGCAGGGCTTTCGTTGCAAAGAGGTGGCATGTTTGAGTGTTTTCAAGCTCTATTTTAGAAACTTTGTTTATAATGAACAACCTGGGCAGCAATGAGAAAGCTACACTTGACTGATGCACTGCTATAGTATTTCAGAACAAAAGAACACCCCACAGTTGGATCTTGAAGCGGCCAGTTCAAGCTTCCTGGACTACCTGGTGCATCCTCTCTCGCCCTTCATCTACCATTCCACATGCTAATGGAACTTGACATGCTGGCACCGACAGCTGTTACCTGTAAACAACGATTCCTGTTCTCAGACAAAAAGTTTAACAATAATATTCACTTCATTCTTTTAAATAATCCACCTTTTCTTATAAGCCAATTGTATTAAAACCTAGCTTCGCTACATTTAATCTCAGAAAGGTGGACTTTAAGGAAAAAAAATGCTCCTGTTCCAGCTTTTCCAGCTGCCTGATATGATAGCTACAAGAGATTTGTGACTGACTACAATTCAAAGCAGTTTGGGCAGCATGAAAAGGAAACCAGTGCTTAAGGTAAATAGCACATACCATCTACTGCAGCAAGCTAGGGAATTAGATTTTGCTTTCTGCTACATTAGTAGATGATGCAGTAAAAATGAAGCTCAGGGTGGGGAGAAAAGGTTCATTTGCTGATTGGTGCTTTTAATCTTGGTGAGTATTCCTACCTTTTTACTGAGCGAAACACTGAACATTGCAGCATCCTTGATTATTTGGAGGCATGGGATACTGTTGTCCCTTGACTTTGAAAAGGCAGTCTAATGGCATGATGAATTGTTTGGATGGGCCTCCAGTCTATTTCAATGGGCAGCAAAACCATGTGGTGAAAGCAAAGTGCCCAATGCATTAGTAAGTGTTTAACTTGGAGCGTGATACTATGTTCCTGTTGAGGCCAGGCTGTACTCTGAGGATTCACTGGATGCTACTGACGTATGAGGCATAGATGAGCACCTTGAGGTCAGTCTGGGTGAGGGGGTAGCAGTTTTGATGTGAACAGAGATAGGGAAGGGGTTGGTTTGTTCTCTCTGGGTGAAATCAGCAGGGGTAGTAGCAAGCTTGTCTGAAGTAAAAGCAGAAGATATGCACTGGAGGGCATCCAGAGGAGAGGGAGGGGAGTCTATAGCACTTCCATCGGAAGAAACTGGGCTGGCACAGCGTCCTTCTCCTTGTAGGTACCGAATGCACTTCTTTTTCCTCCTAAGAACAGTGAAGAGAGTTATCTGTAAATAAAGGGTGAATTTATAGTGTCATATTTACAAGTGAAAACATTGCAGTATTCAGAGCAAACTGAGGGCACACAGGTGAAATTTGTGCTTAATGACAGAATACCAGATTTAAAGTCCAGTTTAGTCCATCTTGCATCCAACAGCCTTTCTTTTCTTCCAGGCCTGTTACTACTATTGCTCTCTGCTTTCTGTTTTTCTGCCACGTATGCAGGCAGTCAAACTCAAGGTATTTGGCTGACCAATTGGATGTACTACGGCATTGGGGACCCGCAGCTTGCTCACAATTTCTCTGGTGTAAATTCAAAGGATTGTCAAATAAGAGTATAAACAAGCTGAAGAGAATGAGTGATAAGCCTCTGGATTCACTCCAGTGAAAGCAGGAGCCAAATTCAGGTTAGATTAGGCTAGTCTAGTGGAGGCTGACAAGTCGCTCTTTATTTACATTCCAATTCCAGTTCTTCCCACTAGGTGGCAGCAGAACAATATCATTAAACCGGATGTAAGGCTAACAGGTAAAAAAAAAAAGCCCAAAAGACCAACAATCAGAAGTCATTCCTTTTTTTGTTTTCTTGCCACTAAAAAAAAAAAAAAAAAAAGATATTTTAGGTTTTTTATGTAAGTCAGTAATTTTTAACCTTTGATGTACATTAACTGATGGTGTGAATTTAAAGTGAATCAATGAGACTATATTTAAGCCCCAGTGTGGAAATTGTCATGCCAGAGGATTGACAGAGCATGTAGAAGAGGCTGAAGTACCCAATGCCGCCTTCATCTCAGTCTTCACAGGCAAGCTGCAGCTGGCAGCACAGTTTTGGGAGGAGGTGAGCAGTCAACAGTGGGGAAAGAACAGGTTAGGGACTATTTAGAAAAGCTGAACATATACATATGGGGCTGGATGGGATGTACCCAAGGGTGCTGAGAGTTGGCTGATGAGATTGCAGAGCCGTTAGCCATCATCTTTGAAAACTCATGGCAATCAGGAGAGGTCCCAGATGATTGGAAAAAGGCAAACATAGTGCCCATATTTAAGAAAGGGAAAAGGAGGCTCCAGGAAACTACAGATCTGTCAGCCTCACCTCAGTCCCTGGAAAAGTCATGGAGCAGATCCTCAAGGAATACATTTCTGAGCACTTGGAGAAAGTGATTAGGAACAGTCGGTATGGATTCACCAAAGGCTCAAGTCATGCCTGGCCAACCTGATTGCCTTCTATGATGAGGTGACTGGCTCTGTGGATGTGGGAAGACCACAGTGGGTATAATACACCAGTTTTTAGCAATGCTTTTGATATGGTCTCCCACAACATTCTCACAGGCAAGCCAAGTACAAGCTGGATGAATGGACTAAGGTGGATAGAAAACTGGCTGGAGCATTGGGCTCAAGAGAATAGTAATCAAGGGCTTGATGTCTAGTTGGCAGCCAGTATCAAGTGGAATGTCCCAGGGGTCAGTCCTGGGGCCAGTTTTGTTCAATGTCTTCATCGATGACCTGGAAGATGGCATAGAGTGCACCCTTAGCAAGCTTGCAGATGACACCAAGCTGGGGGGAGTAGTAGATATGCCGGAGAGTAGGGCTAGGATTCAGTGACCTAGGCAAATCAGGATTGTGCCAAAAGGAATCTCATGACGTTTAACAAGGACAAGTGCAAAGTCCTACACTTAGGTTGGAAGAATCCCATGCACCGGTACAGGCTGGGGACTGGCTGGCTGGGCAGCAGCTCTGCAGAAAAGGACCTGGGGGTTATAGTGGACAACAAACAATATGAGCCCAGTGTGCCCTTGTTGCAAAGAAAGGTAATGGCATACAGGCTGCATCAGTAGGTGTGTTGCTAGCAGGTCCAGGGAAGTGATTATTCCGCTTTATTCAGCACTGGTGAGGCCTCATCTGGAGTACTGTGTTTAGTTTCCCCCACTATTGAAAGGAGGTGGAGAGGGTCGAGTAGAGGACAACAAAAATGGTGAGGAGGCTGGGGGACATGACTTCTGCTCTCTGTACTAAATAAGCCCAGTTCCCTCAGGAGACTCAAAGGGGATTTAATAGCAGCCTTTAACTACCAGAAGGATGGCTTGAAAGAGGATGGAGCTAGACTATCCTCAGTGGTGGCAAGTGACAGAACAAGGAGCAATGGTCTCAAGTTGCAGCAAAGGAAATTTAGGTTGGGTATTAGGAAGAATTTTCTCACTAGGAGGGTAGTAAAACACAGGAGGAGGTTATCCAGAGAGGTTTTGGAATCTCCATCCTTAGAGGTTTTTAAGACCCGACTAGACAGCTTGTCTGGGATGATCTAGTTGGGGGGTGGTCCTGCCTCGAGTAGGGGTTTGGACTAGATGATCTCCTGAGGTCCCTTCCAACCCTTGTTTTGTACGATTCAGATTTTAAAGCCATTTTAATTGTGAGGGAGATTGTCTACACAGGGACTTAATGTGATTGTTTAATTGAGTCTGCTGGAGCATGGCAATTGCCATGCTTGAGCAATCTCCTACATCTTGTGTATCGGTGTCCCTGTGCTTAAAAATGGCAGGGGTGCTTGAGCTAAAGCTTGTTGAATGAGCTTTAGTTCAAGCACCCCTGTTGCCATTTTTAAGCATAGAGACACTGATACAGATGTGGCAGCTGCTGGAGCCACTCTAATTAAAGTACCACCCCACCACCCTTGGAGCATGTGTAAAAGTGCCCCTTATGTAGACAAGCCACAACTGCAGCTCAAAAACAGTCAGTATTTTGGGCATACGTGCATCAAGAAAATAAATGCCCAATATTTAATGCTGAAATGTAATGCTACTTCATAGTTACCCTCTTTTTATAAGTGGCCAAATAATCCTATTGTGCAGAAGGGGTGTCTACTTGCTGTCTGAGTTGTATGCTGTACTTTGACTTGATGTAAATGGAAGGTAACCCCACATGCTCAATGGGAACTACACCAGCTTCTGTCAGATAGATATGAATTTAAGGCATATCTAGGGTGTTGCCCATATTTAGGGTTAGTTGTAACTTGACTATTCGTGTCAGCTACAAGGCTAGCCGCACTAGTACAAACTGAGGATAATCAGGGAAAGCTGCAATTTAGACTTCTATCCCTACTTCTGTATGAATGTGGACATTTCAGTTTGGCATGGGTTCCTTTGCCTGCTTTTCTAAGTCCTTTTGGAGTCTTGTGGGTTGTTTCATGCCACTGGTAGTTGCACTTGGAGTGGTGAGGAAAGCAAGTGCTCTCTATATATGTATGCTTTCTGCAGTCTCTTGGCAACAGTCTAATATGCGTTGCCAAGTGTACCCCAGATTTACATGGGGTACACTTAAGTAAATATAAATGAGAATTTCCATTGTGTGCAAGTTTGGCACCAGTTACTTCTGAGACTATCTGGCAGCAAGCACAAGAGATGCATGAACATGAACTCTTCTGTATGTGCATCTTGAAGGGTGGCACAGTGTACCAGGGAGACCTGGTATGTATGCCATACTGACAGAGCTCCCCTTCCCTTCCTAGGTTACCCAGGGTGGAGGGGGTGAGGCACCTGAATAAATAGTTTAGCCACAGAGAGGAACATCCCTATGAAAGACCCAAGACTCATGTCACTGCTCCAGCACAGCAGACACAGCTTCTGCAGAGACTTGTTCTGTCCCTGTGGTTGTGGTCTCTAGCATGGGCTTCTGTAGAGCTCCCCACTGTGCTGCAGTAATGTGCAGAATGGGTGTGGGGCCTGAGCACAGGAAGCTTAAGTGCAGCTGGGAGGAAAGAAAGGCTCAAACATGGAGGTAAGGGATTTACCTCCTTTTTATGTAATATATCAGTGGGAAAACCGGTTACATCCATTAGTACCGAAGTGACCTGTGATGTCACAGGCCCCATCACAAGGAGGGCCCACAAAGCTCATTTCCTACTAGCCCAGCTGCAGTTGCCACCCACTTGGGAGCCTAGTTTTGTTTTGCTCCAAGTCTTTTTCTCCCTTCCCTAAGAAAGGGTGGCTTAGGCATCGGCTTAGTAAGTAGCCATGCACAACTCTTCATGTAAGAATCTCTCCGTCTTTGGAGCCATTCTGAACTGCGGCCCATCACTTGTAGAGATTGTACCCACTTGGTTTCCTCCTCTTCGAGCCTTTCTGTGCTTCCACATTATGATTATGAATCACACTATGATTCTATGATTATCTCTGGATCCCAGAATGTTTTGCTTTGGCTGCTGTATGGCCTCTGAGATAAGCATAAAGGATTCTGGGCTGTATCCATGACTCAAAGGTGCCTAATGGCCACCTAGGGCAGGCAATTACTTGGGCCTGTGGGCTACATGGGGAGTTTTGGTGAGCTGTCATGGGCTGGGTCAGCACCCCTCTTCTGCAGCAGCTCACCAGAACTCCCTAAGCAGCCCAATCCTGTTCACCTGGCCCCACAACCTGCCCAGACAGATCCCAGCCGAGTTGGGGCTGGGATTGTGGGACTGGCCCTGTCTACCTGCCTGTCCCACTCCCAGATACAGTTCCCCCGGATCCCAGCCTCAGCCCCATTCTGGCCAAGTGCAGAATAGAGCCATGATCTATTGCCCACATGCCCCTGCGAATGTGCTGGTTTTCCAGGCAGGGGTGTGCAGGAAGTGGATCGTGGCTCAGCCCTGGCCCAAAGCATGTGCTTGCTCGCTTACACACTTGCTCTCTCTGCCTCCCCCTGCCATCCCCACAGTTACCATGTGCCCCTTCTCTCTCTCTCTCTCTCCCTGCCCCCATCTCGGCTGCTACAGCACACCTCAGTCTGCAACATCCCAGTCCCTTCTGCAGCTTACACCAGCTCCTGCCCTGCGCAGTGGAAGCAGTGCCAGGTAGGTGCCAGCATGAGTTGTGGATGCTGCAGGCAAGTTTCCAGTGGGGACTGGGACGACTGCCAAGGACCAAAGCTAATGCAGTAGTGTAAGCTGCAGACTGAGGCAAATGCCCACATTCCCACCTGGAACCTGCTGGCCATGTCCACAGCTGATCCTGCTTCCAGTGCGCAGGGTGGGAGCTAGTTTATGCTGTGGAAGGGGATGGGACATGCCTGGCATGATCCAGCAGCCAGAGCTGCCGGCTTCCCATGTGTGAGATACCATGCTTTTGTGGCTGCCCACCTGTGGGCCAGTTGCAACCAATTGATGGGTTGGATCAGGCCTGTGGGTCATATTTTGCCCACCTGTGGCCTAGGGCCAGTGTTAGTCCTGAAGTGCTATATGAGGAAAAGATTCCCTGGCTCCTGATTTAATCTTTAACTTGTCAGACTCTGGAGGGTGGACCTCCTGGGTACTTGCCCTTGTACTAGTTAATTAAACCAAGGAACGAGGGCAAGGCAGCACCACTGCATGCTAACTAGTCACTTCCTGGGCTAGGAAAGGTTCCTAGAACTGCCCCTTAAGACACTGAGATTTTGATGCCAAGTACGAAGATCAGAAGGAAAGATGAGGCATACAAGGAAATTGCCTGAATGAGTCCTTAATCAAATCTTTGATTCAAAACATCCTGCTCTGCACCTTCAATGGAGTTTAATAAGCCAAGCAGCCATTATGGTGGGGAAATGTCAGAAAAAAACTGCTGAAGTCACAGGACATATTCAACCACTCTGGTGAGGATCCCATGTGGCCAGGGCAGGTCTCAAGGCCAAGAGCCCCTTGTGGGACAAGCCAACCCCCCTGAGAAGCATATTCCCCCAGAGAGTCACTGGGAGCAGGAGGGACTGCTGGGGTCATGCAGCACCCCCTCCCCTGGCATCACTCCCAAAGCATATCTCCAGGGTTCCTGTTAGCTCAGATGCTGATTTGAGTGTTTCAGAAACGCATGTAACCGCCACTGTCCTTGCAGTAATGCCCCATGGCGATGTGAACCTCACCACCTTGCCAGTTTACTCAACTGTCTGGACTCTTTGAAAATGCTCACATTTGGCTAATATGTATTTTGGGCCAGGCCTTCCTACTTGTGGTAACTCTTCTTGGGGACTTACCACTCTCACAGTGCCCTGGCTCATTGTTTCTATGCTTTCTACTTTCAGTTGTCTTATAATGTCTCTTAAAACAGTATTGTGGGCCGTTTATGTGTCATCCTACTTTGGGTACTGTACAGCTTCTCAATATATTTTTAAAACTGTGGAGCTCTCCCATGTGGATTTATATATAGTGATGGGAACAATTCCCCTTCTGGAGAAAATCCTGGTGACCCTTCCACATTATAAAAAAAGCTTCCACTTCAAGCACTTGCTTAAATTCTGCATCTCAAAGTGCAGATAAAATGTAGTGCTCTCCATATCTGAGCAGGGGCTGGATTAGATGACCTTGTGAGGACCCTTCCAGCCCTATGTATTCTGATCCTGTGGTAGAAACATACCATGTCCCCAACAGTTAATATGATGAATTGCTTGGGTTCAGCAAGCATTGCTTGCTAAGGTTAGGAACAGATGTTGCATTTGTCCTGTCATGAGTTATGCCTGTATTTGTCCCAGAACAGAAAAGGCCTGGGTTTGGCGTATACACATACTGCTTTTTTAGTTAGGGTTAATTGAGTGGCTGAATGTGCTGCCGCTTTTCTACCATGGTTCAGTGATGTAATTTTCTATTCGGATGCACTTCACAATATCCTGAGACAAAATGTAAGCACTGCTTGTCCCGTGAACATTTTCAAGGTTTGTCCCAGGACAGTGAACACAGGCATCTGAATGACTGCACTTTGTCGAAATGGTTTCTCCTGGAGAGGCACAACCTCTGTTTTTGTAGTCAAAGTAAACATTTCATTAACTTCCTCCTAAGTGGCAGGGAAGGAGAAGGTGTTTTCAGTCAAACCATGTTCTATTTTTCCTCTCTACAGCCAAAAGAAGATGAAACCTCTCAGGGTGGAACACTTGTCATTTTAGTCAGTTAAACCTGTCTCGCTTTGGGATGGAAATCCTCTGGTGGAAGTTTCTTTCAAAGGAAGGTGTCAGTAACAAGGAAGCATAACATGTCTGAAGCCCTTCAGTTGGCTGTGGTACATTAGTACAGGGAATTGCAGAACAGCTGCCACTACACAGGACTTGAGATATAAGGGTAAAAACAAGAAAAAAAGCATGCTAAAGAGCACTCCCGCAATGTGTGTTAATCAGGAAGCAGTGCTGGCAAAGCCAAATGTTAGTGCTAGAGCCGAGTAAGAGATTTCAAATAACACAAGAGAAGATATAAGGACTGCCTTTAGACATAGCAGCCATGCTGGGTGGGAGATCTGCATTCACCACCTCAATCTGGTCTTTCACTTCCCAGCCTGGCAGTGCTGGGATGACAGACCCAGGTTGCCAAAAAAGCTCTGGCTGTTTACAGTACAGTATTAATAGGATGCCAAGGGAGTTCCATCCAGTTTTCCTAGATCAGAAAAAAATGCTACTTGCAGTGATATCATAAGCAAGGGTCATATGAAATCTGAATGGGGACTTCATAGAATTACACAAAGAATAATAACATACAGACTCCGTGCACCTTGAGAGAGGTTTCCCATTTAAGAAGAGAATGCAAGGAGTGAATTTAAGAATTTGTTTTTATGCTCTATGATAGATTGGTCCCCTGGCCAGAACAACTACACAGCATCCTTCAGGATGCAACCAGGCAAAAAGCCTGCTTGGTGTGCTTTGCCCTTTTTAAAGTGCCAGCATATTTCAGATTTTGCCAGACAGAAGAATTAACGTGGTGCTGTACAAACCTACAAAGCAGCAGACTGTCCTGAGAACAATGCCCTTCTCCTTTGCTCAGGCTACGTTTACTCCTTACAGAGTTGTATAGATCCAGAAGCAGGTCAGGAGTCTTTTGCACCTAGGACCACTTGAAGATACCCTGACCCAGCTAACTGTCCTCAGGTTTACTTGCCAGGGGACTGCTTCATTATTTTATTCCCTGGTTCATCACTTAGAAGTTCTTGGAGTCCCCACACAATCTCATTGCTTGGGGCTACTCCACTGTCCAGTGGCAGCATGGTATAGGGTTACTACAGAGATTGGAGCCAGGCTCCTCCCATGTATTTCAATTAGAAATACATGGGGAAAAAAGCAAACTTGAATTACTCCCTAGTGGCTATAGTAGGGACAGACACCCTAGCACCATAGTAGTGTCTGTGTGACAGGGAATCTCTAAAGGGGAATTAAAGCCCAACATGGGGACATTCCCTGAAACAGGGAGAACTAGGTAAGAAATGCACATTTATCTCCCTCCATTTTGCAGGGCCTCCTACCCTGGAGAGAGCCTCTTTTTTACCAGTGAAGTAGGAACTTTAATAAATCAATCTGTAAACTTCTGCATGACATTTGCTGACCCAGAACAAGATGCACAGGTGGGACTTCTTGGCTTTAGCAACACTGATTTAAATTTCTGGTCATACTTGTGTGTGGACCCTTCAAAAATACCTGTCCATGGCCTTGAAACCCCAAGAAGGGCTTGAAGGGGGCAATCCTTAGCAATGCCACTAGTTTGAGTCAGGAGTAAGGGCAACTGTAGGAACATGCATGAAAAATAAAACCATACACAGCGAAAAAACCAATGCGCGCAGGGAAAGACGCTACAAGCAGAGTGGAGAGTTCTGATACACACCTGCACGGGCCGCACCAGTCCGTTTGTTGGTTGAGGCCAAAGCGAGCTCTGCATTTCTTAGGAGAGGCGGGATCTGAACACAGAAGCATGCGTGGCGAAGAATGGCAAGGCAGAGACACAGAGAGGAGGAGGAGCAGGAGGAAGAAAAGATGCAACATCAATTTAGCCACTTCAGACATAACTACCAGGCTAAAATCCAACTTTCAGCAACAGAAATATTCTGGCATCACCACTCCTGGAAAAGAGTCAGTGTTAGGCAAATATCAGAGTGATCTCCTCAGTAGGGGAGAGAAGAAAGATGTTCAGGAACTGGCCTCTTACTGATGTTGTAGAGTTTGTTCTTGCTCACCTGCAGCATCCCCTCCTACCTGTCACCTCAGCCATTCCTGCCACAGAGCCAGGCCCAGGCCATCAACATGCTCTTACAGGAAACATGAGACACTACCAGGAAATCCACTGCTGTTTATGGAACGTCCGACTTCATTTTGAAACTGCCCAATCAAATAGCCACCTACTGCCTCCTGTGCTCAAATCCTTACCTGCTCCATGCCTGTCCAGTCATGGTTAAATGACCTGCCTATGAATGGAGTCCTTGGATTGAAATAAAGACGAGGGAAGTAGTGCAGACTAGTGCACAAAGTGTGTGTGTGTACGTGCTGTGAAACCTGTATTAAGGACCATCTCTAACAAACAGATTTCTGGAGTAAGCATACACATTAAAGTTCCCCAAAGGTTGTGCATACAGTTTTATTTGATCTTCAGATCACTTTTACTAGGAAATGATGTGTGGTCCCTGGGGTGACCTTTAAGAGGTTTCACAGCAATTACTCTCACACAATATTGATGCATGCAAGAGATGAGTCCCTTTTCACTCCAGAAGAGCGG